AAGTTCAGACCCCATTAGCCTATACTTGAAGGTGGGATATGTTTTTGTGTGTGTCCCAGTGTGTATCACCTTACACTCACCTAGATTTAATTCCCCATGTTTTCGTCCGCTCATCCAGTCTGTGGAGATCCTCATGGAGCTCTTCACAGTCAGCCTCAGTTTCCACCTACCTGAATGATTTTGTCTCATCTGCAAAAAGCCCGTAGCTGCTCCGATATCGATCCCTCAACTACCTTGTGAAGGAACGGAAGGTTCGACACTGAGAAGTAGTTGGCTGGAACTGTAGGGTCTGGACATGTTTTTTTTCAAGAGCGGTCTTACCACTGCCTCCTTTAAAGACCCTGAGCTCAGGGACAAGTGGATGACATCACCCAGGGGTGCCCGTATTCCATCTGCCCTGGCCTTTACCAGCTGTGGCAGTGTCAGCTAGCTGCCATGCTTTGTTTACTTTCATCCCCATCCCTTGCGTGTGCGTGCTTGCTTTGCTTGGCAGCCGTGGGTACCTAAAGGGAGGCTCGCTCTCATCCATGAGAACTGGCTCAGCCAGACAGCGCTCTCAGTGCAACCTCGACCAGAAGGGAGGGCTTCAGTTCCACTATTGGTGTGAATATTTCTACTCTCAGGGGGTGGGGAGAGTCTCCCGTTTATGATGTAATATCCCGCCGGGAGAATTCCCGCGCGAGTGCTTGGAGTTCATTTGCTCAGCTAGTTGACGCATCAGAGTATATGTCGTGAGTCCCTTTCACTCCTCGTCATTCCTGACAATATACCTGTATACCATGGCAATAGACCAGTATTCCAATAAAGCATAACTTTCCAAGGAGAGTGTGTTTGGACTTGCTTGCTATTGACCCTGACAGACGGACACGAGTCAAGGTGTGGCAGCTGGTGGGAGAGTCAACTGAATGGTCCGATTGTGAACCAGAAGTCGGCCAAGGGGCCTCCAGTTCACTTACTCTCTCAACAGTGGTCGGGAAGTATTGGTGGAGCGACAAGGTTTTATCTGCAAAATAGGTCACAAAAGCCTCACAGCTAACAGCCAATTCCCTACCATTTTGGTTTCCCTGTGGAAGGGAACTTAATGATATAATTATTCTAAATAACTGAGCTGGGCGAGAGCTTGTGGACGCAATGGAAAATGCATGGAACTCCTTCGCGGCTGTCATTCCCATCTCATAGGCTGCCATAAACGCCCTATAATCATCGCAGCTTCAATCGTACTCTGCTGCCTATTCTGATTTGTACAATCAACACTTATCTCAACTTCTCGTCCCCTGCCCTATTCCTGATTCAACTGTGCCTGTTCAAGAAAATCAACCTTTTTCTTTGAACTTTACTTCTTGTCAAGTGCCATTTCCAAAGAGATTTATAAGAAGGCTCCTGCTGAGTTATAATAAATCTCTGGGCTGGTAAAAGCCAAATAACTTCTTTAACACAGGGTGGGACAGACAGTAATAACTCTATAATTCAAATACACTACTAAGAGGCTGCTCAGTCAGAGTAGGGAACAGTGTTTTGGTGGGAAAATCTGCCACACAGAGAAGCAGCAGCAGGGGTCTGTCGTAACAGGGTATCTGCCAGTGCATTAGGTGGTCAGTACACTGGCCCATAGCTAACACGGGGCCCACAGGGCCTGGCCCCCTAGTGTTTCTTCTGGGCCCCGTCTCTCCTGGGCTGACCGCAAAGTGCTCCAACTTACCACCTGCAATGTACTTTCATTTACCCTCCCAAAGAATTCCATAGTCACGGGGCTGTCAGTACACCAGCCAGATAGCCAAATCTCCGCAGCATTCCACACCAGGCCAATCAGTGTCGACGATTTTTGGGTGCAGGGGGTGCCCTGAAGGAGAAAGACTCTCAGGTAAGCACGGACACCCCCCTCCCGCCCATTAGTCTGAGACTGATGGAGGACGAAGAAACTTGGGGGGGATGAGTTGTTTCAGGGCGACTGTCTCACTCTCCCACCCCCAGGTTGAGTCACGCATGCCAGAACCACCTTTTTGAGCCACAAAGTAATCTTGCAGAGTAGAGGTCTTGTTACTGATGGACCTGGCATTGCACAACATCAGTGTAGGAGAAGAATATAACTTCCTAGCCGCACTACCAACATGTCTCGGGATGGGGCAAAGGTTGGAAGGGGAGACTGAGCCTAACCATATCTCTGTCTCCTTCCCTTATAACACCTTGCCCCCACCACCACCATACCCCCCACGCCCCCAGTCACTGGAATCCCCGACTCTATTGTGGCCTCCGCGGCTAGATTTTACACACTCAACCTTATCCAACCTAACACAGACAATATCACCATCGGAGGCACTAACAATCCATTAACAATCAGTGATTCAAGAACAACTAATGAAGTCTGCCACTCCACCTAACTAGTCCTAATAAACCTAATTGTTTGGAGAGAAAAAATCCCAAGTTCCTGGGCCGGAACTGACGAGAGACAAGTCCAAGGGGTAGAAAGACAAAGACAAGAGCTTGCACTTTGTGCTACTTTATTAGCTAAGCAACAAAAATGAGATAACAGAGAAAAAGGAGGAGGAGGAAGAGGAGGAGATTGGATTCATACCCCCACCCTTCACTACCTGAAGGAATCTCAGAGAGGCTTACCATCTCCTTTCCTTCTCCCCACAACAGGCACCATGTGAGGTACATGGGGCTGAGAGAGCTCTTTCAAGGACTGTCCTTGAAAGAAGAGCTCTGAAATAACTTATAACTGACCCAAGGTCACACCAGCAGCTGCAAGTGCAGGAATGGGGAATCAAACCCAGTTCTCCCAGCTTAGAGTCCGCGCTCTTGACCACTACACCAAACTGGTTCTCCAAAACACTTTACAACATTTAAATATTCAGCAAAGAATATTTCAACACAAACACAATATTAAAAAGAGGAGGAGCAGCTTGGATTTATACCCCACCCTTTACTACCTGAAGGAATCTCAGAGCAGTTTACAATCTCCTTTCCTTCCCCTCCTCACCACAGACACCCTGGGAGCTTTGTGGGGCTGAGAGAGCTCTTTCAAGGACTGTCCTTAAGAGAACAGCTCTCAGAGAACTTGTGTCTGACCCAAGATCACACCAGCAGCTGCACGTGGAGGATTAGCGAATCAAACCCGGTTCGCCCAGATTACAGTCCGCGCTCTTAACTACAACACCAAACTGGCTCTCCAAAACACTTTACAACAGCTCAATATTCAGCATAGAATATTTCAACACAGACCCAATCCTAAAAATAGCACACTTGTATGACACTCAGACTCCTGCCAACCTAGCAGTTCGAAAGCAAGAAACTGCAAGTAGATAAATAGGTACAACTTCGGTGGGAAGGTAACGACGTTCCGTGTACCTTGGTGTTTAGTCATGCCGGCCACATGACCACGGAAACATCTTCGGACAGCGCTGGCTCTTCGGCTTTGAAACGGAGATTAGCACCGCAGCCCTAGCCCGACTCAACTGGCTTTCGAGCAAGGGAACCTTTACCTTTACCTTTTTATGACACTCAGAATGCTCTGGACTGGTCACAAAGGCATTACAGGGAGCTGCTGATGGCCAGCCCAGGGGAGACAAAATCTTTAACCATTTATACCCTCTGGACGCACAGGTTCCATCGAAATGACGGACATAAAGCTCATGCATTTTAACAGAAGAATATCTCTCAACAATCCTACTCTGCACTCATACCATAGATAAGAGAGGAAGTTATCTGATGAAGAGTCATGGGTATCCTATTAATGATCATTCTGAGAAACTAGGAGCCTTCGGCAGATTGTTTTGATTTTGTGTTGACCGCACGGGAGCAAAGCACAGAGCAGGAACCCCTGAGTCAGCAAGCATGATCATACACCACAGACCTTCACCCATCAAGAACGCATTGTGGAGACCCCTGGGTGCCGGAGAAAGAAATGATAACCATAGAAAAATGTAAATGTTACATCCGCAGACCGCCACTAGGCGCCAGCGGTAGGTGACCGGAGCTTGGCTCCAGAAGAACAATGGGGACTCCGTCAGCACCTAGAGGAACTAAGGCGGGAAGTTCAAACCCGCCAACGGGACTTGTGGGTGGCACCCGAAGATCGTCTAGAGTTGGTCGTTTCGACCGTTTGTGTTGCTGTGTCGTGTGCCAGTAAAGTATGAGCTGCTAAATCACTCAGAGTCTGTCTCAGACTCCGAGTGAAGGGTGGGGTATAAATCCAATCCAATAAATCAAATTGTGTAGCGCGTCGAACCCGCTACACAACAGTCAACTAATCTTTTTACGCGCAGGAAAGCCAAGGGAACTGGGGAAGTGGTCAACCCTAGCCTACAAGAATGTCCCGTCAGCTATACCAACATACAACAAGTACCGTGCACAGATGATTATAACATATCATAAATAATTTTATATTTTTTGAAAAATATGTTTACAATAATTTCTACATATATCATTAATCCTCTTAATCACAATTCACAATATAAGAGATATCAAAAATATCAAATATCATCTCCAAGAATCTCAAAAGCTATAGTACAACCTTATAATTAATAATAGTCCTCCTCTGTTAAATAAAAGTTTCCAAAAGGGAGGACTCCTTAAAGTCTCTTTATAACATGTCCTCTGTCTTCCTCCAACAGAGGTCCAGATATCCTTCTGTTTCAGAATCTTCCTCAGGGAGTTCAACAACAATTTTCAGCAAAAGATTGCCACATACCAAAGTTTTAATCCAAAGTTCTCTTTCAATGAACGCTGCAAAAAAAATTTTTCATGAGCTAAAAGCCTCCTTTTCACTTTGGAGGAGGCTTGTAGCTCATCAAAAAATTTTTTTGCAGCTTTTGAGATTCCTGGAGATGATGTTTTTGATATCTCATAAGAGATATCAAAAATATCAAATATCATCTCCAGGAATCTCAAAAGCTGCAAAAAAATTTTTTGATTGTGAATTGTGATTAAGATTATTAATTATATATGTAGACATTATTGTAAAAATATGTTTCAAAAATATTTATGATATGTTATAACCATCAGCTATACGGCAAAGCTCTACGGGAGAAGAGAACCAAAGGGGCATCATTTAGACCGCTTTACAGAAATGCCCCAGGCTCTCTTGTAGTTCTACCACACTAATCATCTAAGACAACATTCAGCGGGCGAGACAGTTTGGGCAATGCGAGATGTTTGCAGTCAGCAGCTCAGTGACGTGTCCCTGATCAGTAGCTACAAAATCCACTTCCGGGAGGACGGATTTGGGTAGCAGTTCCAGCAACCGTTGACAGGGGACCGCAGCACCAAGATCTTCAGTAGGAAGCTAACGGTTTTCTAAGTGGCGAGTCCTGATGCAATGGCAGCTTAGGCCATTAAAGGGAAACTCCAGCAGAGAACTAGAGGCTCAGACCCGTCCCCAGGCAACCCAGCTCCCTTAGTTTCACTCCAAGTCATCTGCTGTATTCAAAGGTACCCAGGTCTTCTCAGGCCCAGACCGGAGGCATCTGCTTTCGACCAGGGCCACCCATCAATCTCCAAAGCCAGGCGATGTTGCCGAAAAATGGCCGAGTCAGTTGTCCCAGCTAAGTCAGGCTGGGCAAATCAGCTCCCAGCCCACTCCTTTTAGCTCCACCAAAAAGCCACAAGGACAAGCTCCTCACCGGCTGGGAGTGATGGTAAGTTAGGTCCTCCTGGGCATGAGGCCGTCCGCAATCATGGCCCAATACTGTTCAGGGCTGGCTCAAGTCCAACCGAGATCAGCTGGAGTTCGTTCCAGGGCACCTGGCCAAGTTTCTGACTTTCAAGGCTGGTCTAAAACCATCCAGAGGACATTCAAAGGGTATGCAATCCATCCAAGGGCCTTCTCAGGCCCATCTGAGCTTGTCCAAAGCCACCCACCAGTAGCCAGAACTGAGGTTTGGGGTCAGTGGCCCCGTGGTGAAGGCCGCACGGTATTTGGGACGCATGGTGGATTCTCAACAGAGAGTCTCCCCAAACTTTATAACTCTCCGCTGTTCTGCCGGGGCCACAAGCACCGCCCGATTTAAAACTGAGGTAAGCTTGTCCGTTTTGCAAGTTGACAACTTAGAGATTAATTAAACAAAAAACGGATGGGAGCTCCAGCTCAAGAGATCCATGCTGGATGCCCTCATGAATTTATAGCCAAAATATATCATTCTCACAGGGTGGGACAGCCAAGCATTCTTCAGAGGAGAAGAAAACATAATACCTGGGCTGCTCAGCAACTGAAGGGACAGAAAATTGGATGGCACAGCTAGTCTCTGAGGGAAGGAGGAGGAGCGTCATACCAGGCTCACTAAATATCTTTCCACACTCTGAGCATTCAGAAGGATTCTCTCCTATATGAGTTCATAGATACTTTTGAAGATCACACCTCTGAATGGATTTCTTTTCACACTATGTGCATTCAAAAGTTTTTTCCTTGCTGCGGGTTCTTAGATCCTGTTGAAAGGTGATAGCCCAGTTGAAGGCATTCCCAGCCTCTGAGCATTCACCTCTGTGGGTTATTAGGCGCAGTTGAAGATTCTCATTCCAACTGAATCTCTTTCCAAACTCTGAGCACTTACAAGGTTTCTACCCTTTGTGAGTTCTCAAATGCTTGTGAAGATGGCTACTCAACCGGAATCTCTTTCCACACTCTGAGCATTCAAAAGGTTTCTCCCCTGTGTGGGTTCTTAGATGCTTTTGCAGATGGCTGTTCTGATTGAATTTCTCTCCTCTGAGCATTCAAACGGTTTCTCCTTTGTGTGGGTTCTTAGATGCCGTCGAAAATTGCTACTGTCACACAATCGCTTTCCACACTGAGAGCATTCAAAAGGTTTCTCCCCTGTATGGATTCTTAGATGCTTTTGAAGATCACCACTCAACCGGAATCTCTTTCCACACTCTGAGCATTCAAAGGGTTTCTCCCCTGTGTGGGTTCTAAGGTGCTGTTGAAGACTGCCACTTAACCGGAATCTCTTTCCACACTCTAAGCATTCAAAAGGTTTCTCCCCTGTGTGGATTCTTAGATGCTTTTGAAGATCACCACTCAACCAGAATCTCTTTCCACACTCTGAGCATTCAAAAGGTTTCTCCCCTGTGTGCGTTCTAAGATGCTGTTGAAGACTGCCATTCTGACTGAATCTCTTTCCACACTCGAAGCATTCAAACGGTTTTTCCCCTGTGTGGGTTCTCTGATGTTGTTGAAGAATGCTACTTGTACTGAATCTCTTTCTACACTCTGAGCATTCAAAAGGTTTCTCCCCTGTGTGGTTTCTTTGATGCAGTTGAAGATTGCCACTGCTATTGAATTTCTTTCCACACTCTGAGCATTCAAAAGGTTTCTCCCCTGTGTGGATTCGACGATGCTGTTGAAGAATGCCACTCAACCTGAATTTCTTTCCACACTCCAAGCATTCAAAAGGTTTCTCCCCTGTATGTATTCTTAGATGCTTTTGAAGATCACCACTCAACCTGAATCTTTTCCCACACTCTGAGCATTCAAAAGGTTTCTCCCCTGTTTGGATTCTTAGGTGCTGTTGAGGTTTCACCCCTGTGTGGATTCTTAGGTGCTTTTGAAGATGGCTGTTCTGATTGAATTTCTTTCCACACTCTGAACATTCAAAGGGTTTCTCCCCTGTGTGGGTTCTTTGATGCAGTTGAAGACTGCCACTCAACCTGAATCTCTTTCCACACTCTGAGCATTCAAAGGGTTTCTTCTTTGTGTGGGTTCTTTGATGTCGTTGAAAATTGCTACTGTAACTAAATCGCTTTCCACACTCAGAGCAGCTAAAAGGTTTCTCTCCTGTGTGGGTTCTTTGATGTAGCTGAAGACTGCTAGCCAAACTGAATTTCTTTCCGCACTGTGAGCATTCAAAAGGTTTCTCCCCTGTGTGAGTTCTTTGATGCTGTAGAAGATTGTTACTCTGACTGAATCTCTTTCCACATTCTGAGCATGCAAAAGGTTTCTCCCCTGCGTGGTTTCTTAGGTGCACAAGGAGCTGTGATCTGTATTTAAAGTACTTTCCACACTGAAAGCATTTACATGCCTTTGTTATAACGTTCCTTGGTGATTGTAAATTTCCCTGTCTTCCATCAGAGTCTGTCATTCTACTCTCTGAACAGATAAATGGCTTTTCTCCTGAATGAAAGCTTTCATGTTTAAGAAGGTCTGATTTCTGTGAGAAACCCTCGTCACTGTCTGAGCAGCTATAATGCTTCTCCCCTGAATGTGTTTGTTGATGGTTAAGGAGCTCTGTTCTGCAAAGGAAATTCTTTCCGCACTCCAGGCACTGATGGGTCTTCTTTCCACTGTCCACTTGCAAACGGATATTATATTGCATTTGATCTGAGAAGTTCATTCCACACTCCGACTTGTATGTTTCTTCCACCATGTGAATTACTTCATGGAAATCTCCCCCATGGCAAGGAATAAGTTGATCCGTCTTCTCGACTGTATGTCGTCCTTTCTGCCTCTTGGGTCTGCCTTGATTCCTGAAGTTTCCTTTCAAGTCTTCATTCTTGACTTCACCTGGCGACAGATGATGTAGTTCCTCGTCCTCCTCATTCCTCTGATCGCCCTCTGTTGGAATAGAGAGAGAGATCCCATTAGCACCCACACAAGGAGGTCTGATTGGCCATTGACATTCCATCCACACACTAAGCGTTTCAGGGGCTGGTTTCCACTGTACACTGAAATGTATAATAATATACATGTTAAACGTGGCTTCCTGCCTGCCTGTGTGGTCCATCTAAGAACTTTGCTTCAGCCTCTTCATTCTTGGCTCTTCCCAAAAAGGTAGGTAGAAAATTTATTGTATATGGCCATAGGCCTTTACAATCAAGAGTCATAAGAACATAAGCACATAAGAGACCCCAATGTTGGATACAGTGGCAGCGCTTACCACCAGCAGGCCCCAGGAGAGGACTGCCTGTGCACCCCACCACATGCAAATGCCGATTCCAGAGAGGCGGTCTTTTCATCACATCCCCATCTCGATGCCAACACTTTTTCTCCTCCTTCATCTTAGCAGAAATGTATGAAAGTGATCCCTCAGCAGTGTTCCCTCTAAGCTGTGTTAGTGTGAGCTAGCTCACAGTTTTTAGCCTCCGGCTCACACACGTTTGCCTTCGCTCAGGAAGGATGGCTCCAGAGCAAACTAATTGATGCAGTAGCCCAATCACCCGCTCACAACTTTAAGGCCGGTCGCTCACCAAGTAGAAGTCTTGCTCACAAGACTCCACAGCTTAGAGGGAGCATTGCCATCCAGTCTTGTCGCAGGCTTTGGATCCCAGTGTCCCCCCCCAGCTGTGCGCTTTCCCATCCTGCTCTGCTGTGCTTCTCCAGAGCTGCCCGGCTGTCTTCAGGAAGCAGGCTGGTAGGTCTTTGATTCTTCAGTTTGGTGTAGTGGTTAAGTGTGCGGACTCTAATCTCGGAGAACCGGGTTTGATTCCCCCACTCCTCCACTTGCACCTGCTGGTGTGACCTGGGGTCAGTCACAAGCTCTGGCACAGCTGTCCTTGAAAAAGAGCAAATTGTGCCCCACCCACCTCCCAGGGTGTCTGTTGTGGGGAGGGGAAGGGAAAGGAGTTTGTAAACCGCTCTGAGACTCCAAGTGAAGGGTGGGGTATAAATCCAATCTCTTCTCTTCTTCTTCTTCCCTTTTTATTTTCTCCCCTAGTAGTGGGAACTTTGTGACGGGAAGGGTTCAAATGGTGTTCGTACTTCACAGCTGCATTTATTTCCTTTCTGTAGGGCCTGTATTTCTTATTTTCCTGACCTAACCTGGTTCTCTTGATGTTAGCGTAATGGACTTATTTTCTTGTTTAAGAAGCTGACACCCTTCGTTTCGAGTGTGGATCGGTATCTCGACCCTGGTAGATGGCAGGTTTACGATCTCGGGAATTAATACCCCGCAATACACGTGTTTTCTCTTTGCTAGCAGGACGCTTTTGCTAGCTACAGGGGTAGACGTGTATGAGTGATCTTCCTGAGAGCCTCTCTCAATGCCTCTACTAGCTCCATGTCAGGACACCCTCTATGGCTTGGGTGATGGCCAGAAAGCTGGCCTCAGTTGCCCCTGGGCCAGCCGGGCGGCTTTGGTTGCTCTGCCCGGCCATGCTGAACATCACTTTCACTGCCACCCAAGTTTGGTGTAGTGGTTAAGTGTGCAGACTCTAATCTGGGACAACCGGGTTTGATTCCCCACTCCTCCACTTGCACCTGGCTGGATGACCTTGGGCAAGCCATAGTTCTGATAAGAGGTTTCCTTGAAAAAGAGCAGTTTCTGTCAAGAGCTCTCTCAGCCCCACCCACCTCCCAGGGTGTCTGTTGTGGGGAGGGGGAGGGAAAGGAGTTTGTAAGCTGCTCTGAGACACCTTCGGGTAGTGAAGGGCGGGATATAAATCCAATCTCTTCTCCTCTTCTCCTTCTTAAAAATCCCCATGAGCGAGGGAAGCTGCAACTTCCCTGCTTCTCTCCCCCTAGCTGTGGTGGGATTTCTGCTGACTCAAAACAGAAAGACTTTTTTTTAATGAGAAAAGCAGGTCCCGTCCCCATGTATCTGGGGGGCCAGTTTGGTGTGGTGGTGAAGTGCGCGAACTCTAATCTGGGAGAACCGGGTTTGATTCCCCCACTCCTCCACTTGCGTCTGTCTGGATGACCTTGGGCAAGCCGTTCTTGAAAAAAAGAGCAGTTTCTGTCTGAGCTCTCTCAGCCCCACCGACCTCACAGGGTGTCTGTGGTGGGGCTGAGAGTCACCGTTACCACTTCCTGTGGCATCAGTTTCTACAAACTGTTTCTGTTTTCTGGGAAAGTTTTTTTCCTTTGACCCTTCTGTTTGGTGTCGTGGTTAAGTGCGCGGACTCTAATCTGGGAGAACCAGGTTTGATTCCCCCACTCCTCCACTTGCAGCTGCTGGATGACCTTGGGCAAGCCATAGTTCTGCCAAGAGCTGTCCTTGAAAAGGAGCCGTTTCTGTCAAGAGCTCTCTCAGCCCCGCCTACCTCACAGGGTGTCTGTTGTGGGGAGGGGAAGGGAAAGGAGTTTGCAAGCCGCTCTGAGACACCTTTGGGTAGTGAAGGGCGGGGTATAAATCCAATCTCCTCTCCTCCTCCTCTTCTCAAGAGCCACAACAGAGGATAAGTAGTGGGGAAGGCCTGGAAACGATGTATTTTGTTAAACATTTTGATTTGTGCCTCATCCCAATGGTGTGACCTTGTGCCACCAAGGAAAGATCCCTTACCCAGAGAGGCCACGTTCCCGTAGTTCTCCCGCATGACTTCCCTGTACAGAGCTCTTTGTCCCGGATCCAGCAGGGCCCATTCTGCCTTGGTGAAAGAGACGGACACCTCCTCAAAGGAGACGGGACCCTGAAAGGAAAAGCAGATTCCCTCGTCAGAGATCGTGCCAGGCAGAGATGGCACTATCCTACGTCTCCCGGATTCCCAGCCTGACTGGACGGGTGCTCAGCCTGATAACGATACCTCCTCCTTGGAGGGGGAGGAACAGCCAGCTGGAATAGATCCAGGGGTCATTTCCTGCGGGAGCGCACAGGAGCGGAGCTCCGGCAGCAAAGAGCCCAGGGGGTGGGCACATGCAACAAGCCCCACCCCCTGTTCCCAGCAGCCCTCAGTCAGAGCAAGAAGCAGCCAGGTAAGTTGCAGAGCCCCCCCCCGGCCCCCCAGTCCAAAACAGTCCAGTGGCACCTTTAAGACCAAGTTTTATTCAGGTACAAGCTCTCCCTCCTCTGTGAGGGCAGATCTGCACATTCCCCAAATGGCTAGCGATCCAAAACAGTCCAGTGGAGCCTGAGCGGTGGGTGCTGCCTTCTGACACACTTCCGGTGATGTCAGGGGGTGTGGCATATGCAAATATGTTAATGAGCTATGCTAATGAGCTCCTGCACCTCTTTTACAACGAAATGGCCCCTGAATAGATCCCATCAGTCTTCAGGGACAGGAGATGCAAGCTCTTGACCAGACACCGGCTGCAACCAATTTGCCCTCTCCTCCTGCTGCGAGCGAGTTACCGGCATCGGACACCGAGGAGAGGGAGGAGGCCAGGCCCAGCGTTTCTCTCTCTCTTTTTTTAAACCCCCCCCCCCGAGAGGGGAATTTTTTATTTGCATTTCTATAAAACTACAACAGAAATTGGGGAGGGAAAATCTACAATCTATAGGAAAAAGTAAAGAAAACCTAACTAAAAACCCAAGAATGGAGGTTATACAATGCTTAAAAACATAGTTATTACTCTTATACATTTGCTTTCAGACATGAAGAGTGCCCGCCTATCATCGCTTCTGTTGACAAAACCTGCTTATCTGACGGAACAGAGAGTAGTTCCAAAGCTATAACGCAATAATTACAGCCCTTAAGAAAAAATTAGCATCACCACGCTTTACTCCCCCCCCCAAGGCATCTTTTAAAACCAATGTTCCCTCAGTAAGAACATTACAACACGTACAGCCCGCTGCAGTGAACGTTTGATGAATCACAGACACCTGTCGCCAGACGAGTCCTTGTAGGGATGCGTGCTACAATTAGCCGCAGCTAACCAGCCCATGGAGAGTCAGCGATAAATCCAGGAAGGGGGAAGCGGCTCATTGTGGATGCAACGTGTACCTGGGCTGCATCACCACCCACCCTGTCTCCTGACTGGAACCTCTGTTGCTCTGAACCTGGATTGAACACCTGACTTCTGGACCCCCATCTCTTGGACTGACTGACGACTCCCCTTTCCGGATACCTGACCCTCGGACTGCTTCCTGACCACTCTCCTGCCTTGCACCTGTACTGTGAGTGATCACCTGGTCCCTTCTGCCTGGCTGTCCTGTGGGACTTCTGCCTGCTCCCACACCAGGCCCACTGGGGCCATTACAGGCACACTGGGAGGGGGCAGATAAATGCACGGTATTACATCTGGGCCACAAAAATGTCAAGCACAAATACTGGATGGGGGACACGTTTCTGGGGAGTAGCGTATGCGAAAGAGGTCTTGGGGTAAGAGTGGACTGTAAACTGAATATAAGAACATAAGAGACGCCAGTGTTGGATCAGGCCAAAGGCCCATCCAGTCCAACACCCTCTGTGTCACACAGTGGCCAGAAATACCAGGTGCCCTCAGGAGGTCCACCAGTGGGGCCAGGACACTAGGAGCCCTCCCACTGTTGACCCCCCCAAGCACCCAGAAGACAGAGCATCACTTGCTCCAGCGTCCCTATCTATACCTTGTGGCTAATAGCCACTGATGGACCTCTGCTCCGTATGCTTATCCAATTCCCTCTTGAAGCCGTCCATGTTTGTAGCCGCCGCCACTTCCTGTGGCAGTGAATTCCATGTGTTATCACTCTTTGGGTGAAGTACTTCCTTTTATCCGTTCTAACCCGACCACTCAGCAATTTCATTGAATGCCCACGAGTTCTTGCATGGTGAGAAAGGGAGAAAAGTACATCTTTCTCTACCTGCTCTTTCCCATGCATAATCTTGTAAACCTCAATCATGTCACCCCTCAGTCATCGTTTCTCCAAGCTAAAGAGCCCTAAGCGCCTTAACCATTCCTCATAGGGAAAGTGTTCCAACCCTTTTATCATTTGAGTTGCCCTTTTCTGCACTTTTTCCAAAGGTATAATATCCTTTTTAAGGTGTAGTGACCAGAACTGCACACAGTATTCCAAATGACTTTGCCCACTTGCTTTGCCCGCACGCACGAGATATATCCATTGGCTCATGCTTACAGGGGGGGATGCTTGATTTTACTATAAGTCAGAGGCCCTAGTACTGACGGCCATTCCTGACACAAGCTGTACACATGTTCATTAGTACTGGACTCATCAATAAACAGTTATCTTCTTATGAAACCCTGTGTGGTGTGACCTGACTAAGGACCCTGACAGTTGTAGCCCCTCTGTATACCGCCTTGGACAGGCCACACCTGGAGTACTGTGTGCAGTTCTGGAGGTCTCACTTCAAAAAGGACGTAGACAAAATCGAGAGGGTGCAGAGGAGAGCGACGAGGATGATCAGGGGTCTGGAGACTGAGCCCTACGAGGAAAGGGCTGAGGGCCCTGGGAATGTTTAGTTTGGAGAAGAGGCAATTGAGGGGGGACATGATTGCTCTCTCTAAATATTTGAAAGGCTGTCATGTGGAGGAGGGCAAGGAGCTGCTCCAGTTGGCAGCAGAGGATAGGAACCCATAGCAACGGGTTTAAATTGCATGCAGAAAGGTATCGGATGGATATTGGGGAAAACTTTTTCATGGTCAGAGAGGTTCAAAGGTGGAATAATCAGCTGCCCAGGGAGGTGGTGAGCTCCCCTTCACTGGAAGCTTCCAAGAAGAGGCTGGACGAATATTTGGCAGAGATGCTTTAGGCTGGTCCTGCCATGGGCAAAGGGACACCTTGACAGCAACTGCAGGAGCAAAAGCCCCCCTGTGAAAGGAGGGGGGACCCCGGCTTCCCACCAGCTCATCTCTCTTACCTGGACTGGAGGCGCAGCAGATGTCTCCACACCTCTGCCAAGACGATGGCTGAACACCACCTCTCCACTGCCTGTGACAGAGACGAAGAAGGAAGAAAGATTCTTAGCCTAGAACCCCTCGTTGGTTTGCTTGTTCGACGCCTGCTCCGTGCACCCTCCTTCCCTGGGCTGTGAAACCTTTTCCACGGGAACACCAGACACAACTTGTAAGGATTTTTAGTCAACTGTGGGAGGGCCGGAAGAGACATACCAGATACCCATCAATGTTCCCTCTAAGCTGTGGAGTCTTGTGAGCAAAAATTCTACTTTGTGAGCTACTGGCATTAAAGTTGTGAGCAAGTGATTTGGCTACTGTATGAATTAGTTTGCTCTGGAGCCCCATCCCTTCCTGAGCTAAGACAAAAATGTGTGAGCTGGAGGCTAAAAAACTGTGAGCTGGCTCACACTAACTCAGCTTAGAGGGAACACTGATATTACCCATGAGCCTTTGGGGCTTCGGAATGCTGCCGACCCCTGAGATTTCTGTGAGAACTGATCTCTGGAGTTCAGAAACACGTCCAGCATCCCTGCTCGATCAGGCCCAAGGCCGTTGGGATCAGACTCCGTTCTCCCGCCAGCGGGGCCCTCCCACGACCCCTTCAGTCCTGGCTGGCAGGAGGGGCGGGGCGGAATGACACCACAAGATACGTCGCTGTCACATCCCTCCGAAAACCAAGAGGTGACTTCGGCGTACATGAAATCTCCAGGGTACTATGGACGGGTTTCCTGAGTGTCTACCGTTGCTCTGACATCACACCCGATCCACATGCCACCCCCAAACAATACAGGGGTTGTCGAAGGCTTTCACGGTCGGAGTTCATTAGCTGTTGCAGATTTTCCGGACTGTATGTAGGACCTGAAGTTTCGCCAGCAGCTGCGACTGGCATCCTCAGAGGGATAACACAGAAAGATGGAGGACTCTCTGTGTCGAGGTGAGAAGAGAAATCGTAGGCAGGTAATTTATATCTACTCAGGAAGGTGGGGTAGGGCTGAGTCATTATTATGTCATTATTATGTAGGAGTTTCCCAGGCTGTGAACATGCTAATGGAGGAGCTTTCCTGAGGAGGTTCTTTTGCATATAGATTGTTTCCTGAGGAGGTTTCCTGTTTCCTGAGGAGGTTCTTTTGCATATGGATTGGCTGTTTCCTGAGGAGGCTATTCAAGGGCGTGGCCATCAGCACATCCAGTTGTTGACATTTGTAAGGCTTCAGTAGGTGTGATCATGCCAATCTATTTGACAGATGTCTGACAGTCCAGGGAACCAGAGCAAACCGGTTCAGACTGGAGCTAAGCTGAGCAAAGTCACAGTGACTCAGCAGCAAGCTGATTGGCTGGTCAGTGTATATATGTGAATGTAGACTGTTCATTTCCCCCCTTCTATTTGTATGAGCGTACTGCGGAGCACTTTGACGGAGCGCTGCAATATATTGGACAATAGTTCACTGTACATAGTTAACCACAAGAACTGTGTAAGCGTGGTTTACTGCAGTTGACCCTTAAAGGTAAAGGTAAATGTTCCCTTGCTCGAAAGCCAGTCGAATCCGACTCTAGCATTGCGGTGCTCATCTCAGTTTCAAAGCCAAATAGCCAGCGCTGTCCGAAGACGTTTCCGTGGTCATGTGGCTGGCATGACTAAACACCGAGGCGCACGGAACGCTGTTACCTTTCCACCGAAGTGGTACCTATTTATCTACTTGCAATTTCTTGCTTTCGAACTGCTAGGTTGGCAGGAGCTGGAACTAGAGACAGGAGCTCACTCCGTCACCCGGGTCTCGAATTGCTGAACTACCGACTTTCCATAGCCTGCAGTTCAGCGTCTTAACCACTTGAGCCATTGCAGCTCCAGTTGACTCTTAGCAGGGTGCAACTGGATCTTAGGTGGAAGACTGAACCAGTGACATGCGCCGCGTGACACCTGTGGCACTGAATTCCAGAACCGAATCACAGAATCACAGAGTTGGAAGGGGCCCTACAGGTCATCTAAGTCCAGGGGTGTCAAACATGCGGCCTGGAGGCCAGATGAGGCCCCCGGAGGGCTTCTCTCAGGCCTCAGTGGAACCAGCTGTCTTCTGCTTCTTCTTCCAGGTCTGCTGCTGCTGCGTCATCATAGGTTTGCAGATTACAGGTACGCACCTGAACAGCCATACTCAAGATGGCAACGGCACAGAAACTTTGATGCAACAATTCAGAGCAAGAGGTGTCAGTGATCAGACACCGTTGAATAAACAAAATATTGCAAGAGTGCTCATGTTTTGAGCATGTTTTTATTTTAAAAATTTTTTTAAAGCCCTTTGTGTTTGTGTCCTTTATAAAGTTGAGATCTCCGCTCCCTGGCATTACGTTTTATGACACACACGGCCCGGCCCGACAAGGTCTCCTTTAGGTCAAATCCGGGCCTCATAACAAATGAGTTTGACATCCCTGATCTAGTCCATGCAGGATCAGCCCTAGAGAATCCCTGACAAGGGTTTGTCCAGCAGCTGCTTAAAGACTGCCAGGAAGGGGGAGCTCACCGCCTCTGGAGGCAGCTGATTCCACTGTTGTGCACCTCTTACTGTAAAAAAGTTTTCCCCAAGATCCAGCCCTTAATTTAAACTCATTTTATTGTGAGTCCGATACTCTGTTGCCCACTCTGAGTTGTGTACAGAAGTTATTTCCTTTTTCCCCTGTCCTAAAGCTGCGGTGGCTCAAGTGGTTAAGACGCTGAACTGCAGGCTGTGGAAGGTCGGTAGTTGAGCAGTTCCAGACCCGAGTGTGCCGCATGACGGAGTGAGCTCCCGTCTCTAGTTCCAGCTCCTGCCAACCTAGCCATTCGAAAGCAAGAAATTGCAAGTAGATAAATAGGTACCGCTTCAGTGGGAAGGGAACAGCGTTCCGTGCGCCTTGGTGTTTAGTCATGCCGGCCACATGACCACGGAAACATCTTCGGACAGCGCTGGCTCTTCGGCTTGGAAACGGAGATGAGCACCGCAACCCTAGAGTCGGACTCGACTGGAACCTTTACCTTTTACCTTTAAAGTATTGACAGATACGTTTGTGTAAATGCTATGAGTATTATTATAGCGTCACAAACAGCTTTGTTTCCTTTCTGCTCTTCTAAACCTTCTACCCAACAGCTTCACCATGTGCCCCAATCCCATAGCCTTACCACGTGAGAGGGCATTTTGGGCACACGCCCAGGCCTGAGTCCTCTGCCGTTCCTCCAACAGAGATCCTTCCTCTTCAGAGAACTTTGCTCCCGTCTTCACTGCTGGTCCCCACATCTGAAAAAGCAGGAAAGGAGATGGGAATGAGAAGGAACAGATGGATCCGGCCCCACTCCCAGACTCCTCACCCCTAGAGGCAGAAATATCCGGGCAGGAAGGCTTAGCATAAGGTCGCTACTTGAACTGAGCGAAGGAGATCCCCTCACCTGCTCTGCCTGCCTCTTCTCCTCGGCCTGACTCAGGAGGAAGCCTTCGGCCAGGGCCACCGCCTGGGAACTGGACTCCGGCCCGCATCCTCTCACCCAGCCCTGCATTTCCTGGGGCAGGAGAGTCAGGAACTGCTCCAGGATCACCAGGTCCAGGATCTGCTTCTTGGTGCGCCTCTCCGGCTCCAGCCAGTGGCTGCAAAGTCCATGGAGCTGGCTGCAGACCTCTCGGGGCCCAGCGGCCTCATGGTAGCGGAACTGCCGGAAGCGTCTGCAAAGTACATCTGAGACTGCAGTGAGCTGATCACGGATCTCTGGCCTTGGGCTTTCCCAGGATTCAGCACCACTCCCAGCTGGGGTGTGAGGGGGGCCTTTCCTCGCTGTCCTGCCAGTTCCAGGTCCTTCTTCGTCCTGCTCTTCCATCTCCTTCCCCTTCCCTTTGGTTGCCTCCGACTTTGGGAAAACACCCTTACTCACGTGTCTATGAAGAGGGAGAGGAAAACGTATCAAAAAGGCAGAAAGAAATCCAAAGAAAACAGAGCTATGCCACCGCCCTGGTCAAGAGACACGTCAGGATTGCCACGGTGGATTAAATTTTTTTTTTAATTATTTTTTATTTATTGGATTTGTATCCCGACCTCCCCTTGACGGGCTCAGGGCGGGTGCCAACAATATACATACAGTACAACAATAGAAAACAAATACAATTAAAACCATGTTAAAACATGTGAAACATACAACTCTAGTAAAAGCCAGATAGGAGCTGCGGTGGCTCAAGTGGTTAAGACGCTGAACTGCAGGCTGTGGAAGGTCGGTAGTTCAGCAGTTCCAGACCCGAGTGTGCTACATGACGGAGTGAGCTCCCGTCTCTAGTTCCAGCTCCTGCCAACCTAGCAGTTCGAAAGCAAGAAATTGCAAGTAGATAAATAGGGACCACTTCGGTGGGAAGGTAACAGCGTTCCGTGCGCCTCGGTGTTTAGTCATGCCGGCCACATGACCACGGAAATGTCTTCGGACAGTGCCGGCTCTTCGGCTTTGAAACAGAGATGAGCACTGCAACCCTAGAGTCGGACTTGACTGGATTTCGAGCAAGGGAGACCTTTGCCTTTACCTTTAAAAGCCAGCTATCTCAGATGTTGATAGTGTTGGGGATAGATTCCCCAAAGATCTATAGTGTTGGGGGTCTCCAACCCCGGCTGTAGATAGGGGCCGACCCAAGCGGTAAATGTAAATGGGGGGCCGACCCAAGGTATACATGAGGGCCGACCCAGGCTATAAGTGGCGGCCGACCCGAGGAGGGGGACGCCCGCAGCCTCAACCAAAAAGCCCGGTGGAAGAGCTCCGTCTTTCAGGCCCTGCAGAATCGGAACAGATCCCACAGGGCCCTGATCTCACTCGGGAGCCCCTTCCACCAGGCCGGGCCCAGGGCCGAAAAAGTTGCGTCCTTATTGTAGTTCGAGGACCGGGACTAATGTCACTGTGCTACGTTATGCGTCAAACTTTTTTAGGTTTGCCTGATTGGTCCTTCAGGAGAGTAAAGTTACAAGAATGGGCACAGTAATAAGACCAGTGAAAAAAGGAAAAAGAACTGTGACAATTTAGTGCTTGGTAAAGGCGTTCAGCAATTATAGCCCATTGAAGAACATAGCTGTAAGCACAGCTTTATGATGAAGTGAATCAACAGTATATTTCCAATACGTCACCAAGAGAAATGAATTGTTGAAAGACAGTTTATGTACATATCCTTGTTCAGAAGAACATTGTCGAAACGGGACACCATTCCGGAGACCACCATCTACATTCACTATTATTGTATATTATTGTATATTATGATTTATGAATATATTACCAAGCGCTAAATTGTCACAGTTCTTTTTCCTTTTTTCATTGGCCTTCAGGAGAGTAAAACATCTCTATTTGGCTCTTTAAAAATCTGTTGCCGATCTTAGGGTCTTGGCCTCCCATGTCTGCATATCAGTCTGTCTTAGGGGCGACGTCTCCACGTCTCCTGAATGAACGGCAGGAGAGTCAACAGATCACGAGGAAAATAGCAGATGGGATGTCAAGCACTGCCCCAAAATGCCTTGCATGCGGGGCAGCCAATCGGCTTGCTAGATTCATCCCATGGGATCACGCCTTTCTGGGCCTCCCGATGACCATTCGTGGCCGAGAATTTAGTTTAAGTTATTTTAATGCACAAAATTCAGGTCCTGCTTTTCTGCCCCCACAAGGGCCACCGAGGCGGCTAACAAATTAAGACATTCATGTATGTGTTATGTCTTTATTTATCTTATTAAAAGTCCACCTTTTTCACTGGGATTCAAGGAAGTCTATACAGAGCAGAGGTCCATTATAGAATGATAGAATCACAGAATGTTAGAGTTGGAAGGGACCTTGCAGGTCATCTAGTCCACCCCCCTGAAAACTCTGCAGGAGCGTAGTGGCTATGAGCCACAACTGCAGTGCTCCCTCTAAGCTGAGTTAGTGTGAGCTAGCTCAGTGTATTTTTAGCCTTCGGCTCATACATTTTTGTCTCAGCTCAGGAAGGAGGGCTCCAGAGCAAACTAATTTATTCAGTAGCCAATTCCTCACTCACAACTTTAATGCCAGCGGCTCACAAAGTACAATTTTTGCTCACAAGACTCCACAGCTTAGAGGGAGCATTGACCACAAGGTATAGATAGGAACTCTCAGTCTAGGGCAAGGGATGCTCTGTATTCTTGGTGCCGGGGGGGGGGAGCAACAGTGGGAGGGCTTCTAGTGTCCTGGCCCCACTGCTGGACCTCCCGACGGCACCTGGAATTTTTGGCCACGGTGTGACACAGAGTGTTGGGTTGGATAGGCCATTGGCCTGATCCAACATTGGCTTCTCTTATGTTCTTATAGGAACTCTTGGTCTGGGGCAAGTGATGCTCTGTCTTCTTGGTGCTTTGGGGGGGG